ATAGTGTGATCGTTTAAAGCTTTAAAAAATTTCAACCGGAAGTTGCAAAAAAGCAAAAGCGAAATTCAAAATTCGGCCCCCAATGTTTTTTGCGCAATCGATTGCAGAATACATTCACATCAAATTTGAGCATATCAACTTTTACCCTGAGGCCCCATTTTGAGTTTTACAAAAGTGTGTTTTTTCAATATGGCGGCCAAAGTATCACTTCCGGTCTGGATTTTATTTTAAAATCGGCCATAAAATTTTATTTGCCAAAGATCAGCCAAATTTTGTTGACCTACATAAATTACACCGGAAGTTATTCAACCGGAAGTAGATTTGAAGTTCAGTCGCTTTCCTGTTGAAAATCGGAAATGACGTACAAATTTGACTGCATCATATTATTAACATTAGTGAAGTCTCTTTGCATTTAAAATTTCAGGTCAATCGATGCAAAAGCAAAAAAGTTGCAAAAAAATCGAAAAATTTGATCGAAAAAAGTGAGCGACGAATTTTCGAATTTCGAAATTTTTCAAGTGCTATCAGGTCAGAAATTACAGGTAGATTGTAAAAATGAAAACCCGAAGAAAATCGATGCAAAAATGCGCCTTCTAGAGCCGATTTTGGACTTTTTGCACATGTTGAACTGTGGCACTTCCGGTTTTGCAAAAATGTTCCAATTTATATTTATGCACATCGTCGCCTATATAGAAGGTCTATGAAATTTGAAACGTTGCTGCAACTACTGCAGTCTAACCTCGGGAAGGTGTGGACGAAACGAAAAAAAAAAAAAAAAAAAGAATGGACATTTCGATAACAAACTGGGACTTTGCTTTCAGCAATAATTATATTATGTCATTGAACATTTGAAAATTTTATTTCCCTCATTGTGCACTCCATTGTGTAATGTATAAACATTTTATTTTAAAAAATTTCCATTAGTTTTTTCTGAAAATGGATCACATAAGCTGATGTCAGATTTATTATAAAGTCATTTGAACCGTATTCACAATTTAAATACTACTTATTACTTACATTATGTCAATAAGCAATATTTCCTTATTTCAATAACTATACAGTATTGTTTTGAAGGCAATAATCATTCAGAAGACGTTATTGAAGTATATGTTATTTATAAGGAGTGGTTGTTATTGACATGCCTTGTATATTATACACAAGTCATTATCAGAAATAATTTCCTTATATCTACAATAGATAATCTAGTACCAGGATATCCATTCTCATATCCCCAGAAAATTTGGCAGTAAATTTCCAGGAAATGTAACAACATTCCTTTGTGCTACTATTCCCCACAATAAGAGTGTACGTACATAAGGAGTGTGAGAGTGTGAATCATAATTGCAAATCATACAGAATAACTATCACGTCATAGAATTAAAGGGGCAGTATGCAACATTTTCATTATAAAAAAAGTTGTTAATTACACTTGACACGATTTCTTAAACATGCTATTTATATCTATGTATCTATTTGATCAATTTGAATTTGTTTTAAAAGGGTTAATTACAGAGTGGAGTGATCTAATTTTTAAGAAAGAAGTCTAAACTATGAAAATAGACAATCTATTATATATAAGTAAACCTTTTAAACATTTCTAAAATTATGACATGATACCTTTAGTTGAAACTATTAGATTATATAAGGAACACATTTTTCAAGATTTGGTCTATATTTTTCATTCATTTGAGCACCTTACTTTTTCAAAACACTGACTGCTCCTTAAGAAAGTATAATATTGGCAAGCTAAATCATATATAAAGTACATATAGATGAGCTCAATGACTATAAATTTGTATCTAGGCAAAACAAGGTATGAAATTTGAATCAATTAGAAACTAGAGCCACTCGTGGCACAGAGTGGGACTTTGCAAATGTAGCAAATTGCAAAAGACCCCGAAAAAATCATCCTTCCATGATAATTAGATCAATCGCAAGAACAGTCTAAAGTTGAGAAATTTTCATTTTTTAGAAGATTCTAATACCGGAAGTAGACGTCAGACCTCACAAATGAAAGTATCAGCAGATAGCCAAGGTCAATGACCTTTGATCTTGTAAAAGATAAAGTCTAAAACGGTCAAGATCAAGAGATATACGTCATCAAAATTTCAAATTGCACACGACTATAAAACCGGAAGTTGACATAGGACAGCAAATATGAAAGTACAAATAGATAGCCAATGCCAATGACGTTTGATCCTACAAAGGTCAAGGTCAACAAAGGTCAAGGTCAAAAATTGAAGATTTTCAATTTCCAAAACCTGTTCCTTTTTTTGAACTAAGAAGCTGAAACAACCGAAATTCTAAGACAAAGTGGCTCACAATATGAGGTAATTGTATGCAAAGTTCCATTTTGAACAAATGTATACTTTGCGAGTTATGCCCCTGGCCAAAAATGTCAATAATGAGTAATTAAACCCGGAAGTGCCACGCCCAACTCAATTTTTTTTGAATAAGTTAATCAATATTCAAAATGTTACGTTATGTTCCAAATGTCAAGTTCCTACATAATAGAGGTCAAAAGATATAGGTCAACAAAAGTCAACAAAGGTCAAAATCGAAAAATGAAAATATCCAAATGTTAAAACCCGTTCCTTTTTTGAAACTATAAAGCTGAAACAACTGAGCTGTTAACACAAACTGGCCAAAATAATGAGGTAATTGTGTGCAAAATCTCTTTTTGAACAAACGCATCCTATGCGAGTTATGCTCCAGCCCCAAAATGTAAACAATTAGTAATTCAACCCGGATGTGCCACGCCCACCCCAATTTTTTTGTCATAGGTGAATTCATATTCAAAGTGTCTAGTTGTATTCCAAATATCAAGGTTCTACATAGAATAGGTCATAAGATATATATACACCAAGATCAAAATGACACAAATATGGTAAAACAAAACTCAAATTTGAAAAAATCACCAATTTCAATTTTGCTTTAAAAAAGCAATTGTTATATATCTATGTAAAGTGCATGAAAAGCACATTAGGAAACCGAAAATATTAACCCTCTAGGTTAATTAGGTCACGTGCTAGAGCAGTCCAAAGTTGCGAATTTGGCTTTTTACGGATAGCTATAAAACCGGAAGTACATGTCGGAGGTCAAAGTATCAAACGATAGCCAAGGTCAATGACCTTTGACCCTGTGAAGGTCAAGGTCATCAACGGTCAAGGTCACATGGTGTGGGTGTTTCAAGTTGGAAAAAAAATTAACCGGAAGTTGTAAAAAAGCAAAAGCGAAATTCAAAATTCGGCTCCCAATGTTTTTTGCGCAATCGATTGCAGAATACATTCACATCAAATTTGAGCATATCAACTTTTACCCTGAGGCCCCATTTTGAGTTTTACAAAAGTGTGTTTTTTCAATAAGTATCACTTCCGGTCTGGATTTTATTTTCTTCGTTTTTTGGTAATAGCATTTACTTACGATCAGCATAAATTTCGTTGACCTATTTCAATTACACCGGAAGTTATTCGACAGGAAGTGGATTGTACTTTCAATTGATTCCCAGTTTAAAACCGGAAGTAAAGTTAAATATTTGACAACTACATATTATTTGCTTTAGTGATGTCCCTTTGCATATTAAATTTCAGGTCAATCGATGCAAAAGCAAAAAAGTTGCAAAAAAATTGAAAAATTTGATCGAAAAAAGTGAGCGACAAATTTTCGAATTTCATAATTTTTCAAGTGCTATCAGGTCAGAAATTACAGGTAGAATGTAAAAATGAAAACCCGAAGAAAATCGATGCAAAAATACGCCTTCTAGAGCCGATTTTCGACTTTTTGCACATGTTGAACTGTGGCACTTCCGGTTTTGCAAAAATGTTCCAATATATATTTAAGGAACACGTCGCCACTACAGAAGGTCTAGAGAAGTTGAATGGTTGCTGCAACTACTGCAGTCTAGGCTCAGGAAGGTGTGTAAATTTCGAAAAAAAAAAAAAAAAAAAAAAAAAAAAAAAAGAATGGACATTTCGATAACAAACTGGGACTTTGCTGAAAGCAAAGTCCCACAAAAATATCTGCAAATCGTATCAAATGAGCCCAGTTTTAACAAAAATCAAATGTCTCAATACTTGAGTCTTTTTTATTTTACAACACACACATAAATTGGTACTAGTTGTTGTTATTATCTCAATGTCTTGATATATATATACTTTTAGGTGTATTATGATGAAATTGTTTTTCTCTACTGGAATGTTTCTATTATGAAACTCGTAATCCTATTAACATTAAAAATCAGGCCATGTATTCTCAAATTGATCTTAGCGCTAGGATGTCCTAGATTCTTACATTGATTCTAGGACATCCTAGTGCTAAGATTGTTTTGAGAATACCTGACCAGGCATTTGTGATTCCAAACAAAAAACGGTAGATTATTCAATTAGCCCATTAGAATTTAAGGAGTAAAGATTCGGGATGTAATAAAAAATTTTTAAACGCTCTAAATCAAGAAATTGCAAAGTTGAAGTTAAAGCTTTTTTCATAAAATAAATATTAGTTATAACCCACCTTTAATAGGAGTGGTGTTTGTATCATCAGCAGGTTTATCTTCAGTTTTAATACCACCAGCTGTAGATGAATTACTAGACTCATCTCCTTCCATTATTGGCTCTGTATTCTTAGATATAAATGGAGCTGCTCTAAAATAAAACATAATCTATATAAATTCAATTTTATACAAGGTCTGAATAACTGACTTTCAAAGGTCGTGTGCTGAAAAGGACACCAGACAAGAAACACTCACACCAATTTTCATCAAAATTTGTCCATAATTGTGCCTTCTAGAGTGTTTGCAAGCTTGAACGGCAATAACTGATACTTAATATTTTGATAATTCTGATTTTTCTCTATATGGTTCATCCTTGGGTGATTACAAACACTCATACCAAGTTTTGTCAAAATCCGTAAAGATTTGTGTCTTCTAGAATGTTTACGAGCAATTGCCATTTTATGTGGGCGTAAAAAAAAAATGAAAAACCTACTCAGCATTTAAGGATTTCTTTTTCTTTTTTGGAATGTCTTCTTCTACTTCTTCAATATGTCGTTTTCTCTGGGGATGATTTTTATTTTCATTATCTTTTTTACCAGTTACAAATGATTGATACGTTCTTATTTCATAATTAGTATTTTTACCACTTAAACCATTATATGCTGTAAAATATGTTCATTATAGTCACTATTCTATCAAGTAAAAGTATTTGAGAGAGATAAACTTGTAAAACCAAATTATCTAGAATATCAAAAGGATAATTCCCCATCTTCATCAGTTGATAAGACTGCAAATATCACAGATAAATTATTGTCTTCATGGAAGAAAGTACAAGACAGACTGGAAATTATTTTTTTTTTCAAATTGAAAAGTTTAAGGGACAGCTAAAATCTTCGAAAAAAGGCTGTTAACATTCTTTCTGATCTAATGATAGAGTACCGGTAGCTGAAGAATTACACAAATAACTTACCATTTTTCCAGTTATCTTTTTTATATAGAGAAACTAGAGCTGACATATCATCAATCCAGAAAACTTGTACATTTCCTACAAAATATTCAGAACTATCTTAATAAGAATGCCCATTACTATTGCACATTGTTTGAAAAAAAATCCATGATCTTTTAAGAATGGTAGAAAAATTAATTCTTAAGACACTTCTAAGTCTTCTATGACTTTCAACAAGGCATCTATACATGTTACATCAATTCGACATTTCTCTGTTTGATCCATTTCACATCTACAGAATATATATTGTCACTTTCTGATCCTGTTTAATCAATGAGTGAGGTCAGAGGTGTTAGTGTTGGATTAGTGCATAAGATATATGGTTACTGATACAATATAATAAATGCTGACATATAGTCTTACCATAATCAGTAAATAAATTAGATACATCATTAGATTTCCAATCTTTAGGCATAATTAGATAAAATACATGATCTCTGTTAGCTTGTACTGGAATACAAATATACTGAATATGTACATTACTGAATCTAAAATAGATATGGCATAAATAAATTGTCTACAGTCATGCCCTATAGTGAGAAGAAAAGAAAAAGAATTTCTAAAATGTCATGAGTTATACAGTGAAGGAATACTTAAATTTTATACAGACAATCCACTTTCATTATGTCATCTAATTCAACCTCAGATAAAGACAGTATTTGGAATTCTCCATGAAGGAAAAGCTGAGTTATGTGATACATGTTAAATCAGGGATTTTATAAATAAAGAGAAAACTTACAGTCAGGACCATTGAGATTCATATAGGGCACTTCAAAATTTCTCATCATAAATAATCTGAAATAAATTAAATGAAAAGAATGGAGTTTGACATCCTACTTTTCTGCACCTAATTGGACTACTGAAGATTGGCAACGCCATGCAATTTTTCGTGAGGGATCTTAAGCGTGCAAAGCCTGTAGCACACAGGCCTTGGTATATTGTCCCATTTGACTAGACTCTTTTTCCATGCACAAGTTAAAATAAAAATTGAATTTGTTATAATTGTCTTATATCCTCCTTCTTAACCCAGATATTCTGTTTATAGATTGAAGGGCATTTGTTAAGAACAGAATGACTGAGACAGAACTTACTTGTTCATAAAGGGTTCAATTAATGGGGATGTTGGTGAAACAAAATCCTTCTGTGGTTTCTGAAAACTACCTACAACAATTACAAATAAACTAATAAAAAAAGCATAAACATGTGGACTCTTGGAGTCCTTGGACTAATGAGCCTTATGCCAACAGGTTGAGGAATGATCTCAGGAACAGTCATCATGTGCTCTTTAATGATAATTAGTATCAACATAATCTTCACATTGATTTCTTTCATATAAAAGTATACAAGATAATTCAGGTTTAAAGTAGAAACAGATGGGCTCAGTAAATAATATTTGAGGCTTGCAACACAGTTCTCATTTCTTAAATTGTTCATTTCATAAAATATTTTCTCTTACCTAAAAAGTTTTTCATGGTGGCAAAACAAAGTCCTGTGATAAAGGCATCATAACCTGCTTCATGATATTTACTGTCTGCAGAATACTGTTTAAAACTTTCTGGAAAATCTATAGTTCAAAATAGGACCCAATTCAGATTGTATAAATTCTTAAAATTACATGGTCATTTCTTAGGAAGAAAATAGAAATGACTAATCTTATAAAAGCGAAAAATTACTTTTTATAAGATTAGTCATTTCTTCCTAAGAAAGTGATTTTAAGAATTTATACAATCTAAATTGGATCCTATTTTAAACCAGATACAGCGTCAAAAATACACATATGTAGGCTTATAAGATGAAAATTTTGTCATCAATCTTTCAACTATTCTTTAAATTTTAAATATTTATTTAAAATCAAACATCATAATGATATGGCTTATCCTTTCCCCAGTTTTCTAGACAAGAAGATATTTGAAATAAGATATAATACATACCTACCTCTGGTAGTTGAAATGGTTTATGAGATAGTATCCTATGTAAATCATTTAATACTGAACAATGAATTAAATCCTGAAAAGTCAAGTTTGAAACATGTTGCCATTCAGAGTTTCACACTGTACGATCTTCAAACAACTGTTCTATATCTGCATTCCTCCCCATTAAAGACAAGCATCTTTATTTACATAGATTTTTTTCATATACTCTGGTAAGTAATTGACTCATAAAAACAGAACACATTTACCTTAAAAGGATGGTTCTGTGCCATTAATTTGGTGTCAACTAATCTAGAATATATAATTATCATGTATAAGCAACCTAGTATACATCTTGAAATCCTAATAAACCATATAAACAAAATTTTGGTGAGATTTCTTAATTCTTACTATAAGCTACACGCCTAATTATATACTTCAGCTATGACAGGATATGATTAATTTATTCACACACTACATTGAAACAACTATGTTTATTTTAAAATATATATGCACACAAGGAGCTCACTTTGAAAATGAAATTTCACTTCATATAATGATAAAAAGACAACTTTGAAGATATACTTACTTTGGAAAGATACATTTAACCATAGACTTGAAATCTTCATATTCCTAGAATATACATAAACATCTAGATGTGTTAATACATTTCAGTTGTAAGTAATGTGTAATACAGTTACAATACAAGAAAGAAAAGTAGCATCTTTACCTCTGTTGTAACATATACAGCTGCACTATTTAGAAAACTATTTATCTTATTAATAAAAAATAAAACGGAACCTCTATCACTTTACAATTGATGTATTAAAATTTTTTTTTTTTTTAACAACATGTGTTATTGTATATTACTAAATACATATACTTACATCTGGTAGAGGGAAATGAAACTGATCTATTGTGTGTAAAACATCTAGTAACATATTATGTCCCACTATAATCTTCCCCTGTAATATAATATTATATATAATATATAAAACACAGTTCACCATTCCCTTCTTTGTACTTGTTATTCAGATTTAGATTTTTTTTAGTTTTCCTCTATTAAATTAAATTGATTCATATTTTTAAGAAATAGTTTGGTCTGTATACAGTGTGTTAAGATAGATATAACCTCAAACTTACAGATTGTGACAATTTTCTTATAACCTTCGAGAAACCTACAGCATCATCTATTTCAGCCTAAAAATAACATAATTTCATAATTTAATCAAAAGATAGATATGCATCTAAACAAAAACTAATATTTCTTGTTTTATAAATACACTGGTTTAAAATTTATACTTTTACATATTTAATTACCCTTTCTGCTGCCTGTTTAGCTCCTTCTCTCATCTTTAATTCTTCTTCACCACTAACTTTAGTTACACAAATATATCTCTCTTTCTTCTCCCCTTTCTTAGCTTCAAGATGTACTGATGTGAACCTAATTAACAATAAGCAACAATGGGTTAATTATTCAGTATAACTCATACCAAGTAATTCTGTTTTATCTACTTAAGAAACACTAACCGACACAAATAAAAATATCTTGAAATATACTGAAATGAGTTTTTAAGAAACTTTGTAGTTTTTATGTATTAAAGGTGTACACCTCAAAATATTTCTTAAAAAATAAAATCAATAGACATTTAAAACTTACTTAGCACGAACTGTTTGATATATTAATTTACGTTGAAATCCATTACAAGATGGTAAATCTAATGATTGTTCATCATTTTTATCCATAAAACAACTGATACTATCACTGAAAAATAATCATAGTTTAAAATATTATCTTACAGAGTAGTTATTAGCATTTGTCCTATCAATTTGTTGATTACTATATTTTATGTTAACTGTATATAAGTTGTGTTCTAAGATGAGTTCTCTTTAAACAATAAATTACCTTTTCTTTATGTTATCTGTTGAATTAGACAGATATATACCAAAATATAAAACTCACATATGCTTTAAGACTACTCTATTAGATACATTGACTAAATAGCAAATCATAACCCACTTTTAATCAATTAATTGCATAAAATTCAGAATCCTTACACAATTCCATTGATAAAGTCCTTTTGGTCATCAGGTATAGCAATAGGACCTTTATTAGGTCCCATATCTTGACCATG